GTATTAAAACATTTTATTTCTGATATAGCCTAGTCTCATTTGTCTTAATAACATATTTTTTTCTTACAGTATGCATATGTTTGTTTAATTACATCCTGGGTACTCTTGAAGTACTTTGAGCAAAAAGAGCAGATGTCGATGTTTCCCAGCTTTATGTAAATTATTTTAACATATGTAATCCCCCAGTCAATTGTAACTTTTTTCTAATTAAGAAATATTTGTTGGATGCATCTTTTCTATGTTAAACTATGTGTGCCTCATATATAGGCTCTGCATTTCTTAGAATAATATCTATAGTATTGGTGGTTAACCAATCACTTGCCACATTCTGGATATATTAATGATGGCCAATCTGTCAGAGAAGCAGGAACCAAGAAGGGACAGTGTAATGCCTTTTTAGTTCAATTCCATTCTGAGACTAGCAAAGCACATGCCTTACTGGTCATGACCCATATTCATGGGATGTTTGTATAAAAGGAAACAGCCTAAAGGTACCTGCAAGGACACACTCCCACAACAGAGTCCAGATGTTCCAATACTCATAACAATGTATGTTTTGAAGGTAATAATGGTTATGCTTTGATGTACTCACACACTAGACTGTCAAGGCTAGTTTTCTTTAAATCAAGAGAGTAATAAATTTGTCATGATGCCTGCCCACCTGCACATAGATGCAGCTTAGCTTGTCTTTACATAGACAAGACCCCTCCATAAGGAAAACTTAAAGACTGGTGGTTTCTCCTCTTGCTTTCTGTGGGTGACCTACTCTGTAATGGAGTAGCTTTTAATACACCCACTTTTTTCACTGTACTTTGTGACTCACCCTGAATTCCTTCCTGCAAGAATCTTCTTTTGGATTTCACAAATCCAGTAACAAATCTATTCCCAAAATCTACCATGATCTCAAATTTCTTTCTTAAGAATTATTTTTTTTTGGTGGGGGATTTGGTCAGAAACTTGTAATTTCTGTGGCATTTATGTGTTCTTTTAGCCAGTTTCAAGAGCTCCCAGATTCTCAAAGTAGCAAGGAAACAGGAAGCTTGCATTTAACCACATCTATGGATTGCATTCAATTTAAAAAAATTATACTTTAAGTTCTGGGGTTCATGTACAGAACGTGCAGGTTTGTTACGTAGGTATACATGTGCCACGGTGGTTTGCTGCATCCATCACCCCGTCATCTACATTAGATATTTCTCCTAATGCTATCCCTCCCCTGCTATCCCTCCCCTAGCCTCCCAACCCCTGACAGGCCGCAATGGCAACAAAAGCCAAAATAGACAAATGGGATGTAATTAAACGAAAGAGCTTCTGCACAGCAAAAGAAACTATCATTAGAGTGACTGGCAACCAATAGAATGGGAAAAAATTTTTTTGCAATCTACCCATCTGACAAAGGGCTAACAACCAGAATGTACAAAGAACTTAAATAAATGTACAAGAAAAAAACAAGCAATACCATCAAAAAGTGGGTGAAGGATATGAACAGACACTTCTCAAAAGAAGACATATATGAGGCCAACAATCATATGAAAAAATGCTCATCATCACTGGTCATCAGAGATGCAAATCAAAACCACATTGAGATACCATCTCACGCCAGTTAGAATGGCAATCATTAAAAAATCAGGAGACAACAGATGCTGGAGAGGATGTGGAGAAATAGGAACGCTTTTACACTGTTGGTGGGAGTGTAAATTAGTTCAACCATTGTGTAAAACAGTGTGGCAATTCCTCAAGGATCTAGAACTAGAAATACCATTTGACCCAGCAATCCTGTTACTTGGTATATACCCAAAGAATTATAAATAATTTTATTATAAAGACACATGCACATGTATGTTTATTATGGAACTGTTCACAATAGCAAAGATTTGGAACCAACCCGAATGTCCATCAATGATAGACTGGATAAAGAAAATCTGGGCCGGGCACGGTGGCTCAAGCCTGTAATCCCAGCACTTTGGGAGGCCGAGGCGGGTGGATCACGAGGTTAAGAGATCGAGACCATCCTGGTCAACATTGTGAAACCCTGTCTCTACTAAAAATACAAAAAATTAGCTGGGCATGGTGGCGTGTGCCTGTAACCCCAGCTACTCAGGGGGCTGAGGCAGGAGAATTGCCTGAACCCAGGGGGCGGAGGTTGTGGTGAGCCGAGATCGAGCCATTGCACTCCAACCTGGGTAACAAGAGTGAAACTCCATCTCAAAAAAAAAAAAAAAAAAAAAGAAAATCTGGCACATATACACCATGGAACAATTCAGCTGTAAAAAAGGACGAGTTAATGTCCTATGCAGGGACATGGATAAAGCTGGAAACCATCGTTCTCATCAAATTGACACAAGAACAGCCAACCAAACACAGCATGTTCTCAATCATAAGTGGAGCTGATCAATGAGAACACATGGACACAGGAAGGGGAGCATTCAATTTTTAAAAGCACACAGGGTGTTAAAAGTTCTGTGGTGTCTTTAATTAATTCCTTATAGTCACACATCTGAAATGTAGTGTAGAGTGAAAAGAGCTCATTGTTCCTAAAATAGCTCAAAACTTGAGTGCACAAGGTGCTCTCATAGAAAATGAAATGCTCTATTTTTTGTCATCTTCATTCAGGTATAATTCGCATACAATAAAAAGGAAAAATTTTAAGTGTGTGCTGACGTGAGCATCTTCACTGTACATAAAAGCCATCCCAGGGTTTCTCCAGCCCTACTCACGCATCGTTCTATCACTATTGCTCGGTTCAGCCACAACTTCAAATAAGTGGATGCACACTGTGTGCATTTTTTTTTTCTGGCTTTCCTTGCTCAGTATGTCTTTGAGAGTCATCCATGTTGTGTGTTTGTTCTTTCTCATTGCTAAGTAGCTCTCAATTATATGAATATGCTGCAGGGTTTTTCATTCCTTTGCTTGTAGCTGAACCATTGAGTTGTTTTTGATTTGGGGTTATGTACAAGTCTTGCCATGTACAAGAAAACTAGAAATAGTTTTATTTATTTTGTGTAAGTATCAATGTGTAGAATTGCTTGGCCATAATTTTAAATTACGAACAGCAGCATATGAAGTATGCAGTGGCTACGCATTTTTACTAAAAGTATTGTTAGCTTTTCATTGTCGATATTATATTTGTTATAAACTGGTATCTCATTCATTATGGTTTTAATTTGCAGTTTTCTGATTGCCAATCATATTGAACATCTTCTTATATATTTATTGACCATTCTGTTGTGAAGTAGTGCTTACTTAAGTCTTTTTGGCTCGTTTGTCTTATTAATTCTTATTGTAAAAACATTTGCATATGCTACATAATTACATTTGTATATTCTAGATAAATATATATTTTTCCTCCATGTCTGTGGTTTATAATTTTATTTCCTTAATGCTGTCTTTAGAAGGGCAGATGTTTTTATTTTTTATGATGCTTAATTTATTATTCCTAAAAACTGTATGTTTTATGCTTTTTGTGTTTAAGAAGTATTATAATTTTAGCTGTTACAATAAGGTCTCTCTAATCCACTTCAAATACATTTCAGAGTGTGAGATAGAGGTTTCTTTCCTTTTTTCATACAAGTGTTGAGACACCATTTGTTGAAGAACTTATCTTTTTACATCGAAATATATTTGTGTCATTGTAAAAAAATAATTGACTGTATATGTGTGGGTCTATTTCTGACTTTTTTCCTATTCCACTTATACATATGTTTAAATTTATACCAACTCTGAAATATCTTGGTTATTGTTCCTTTATAATAAGTCTGGAAAGAATTTAGTGTAACTCTTTCAACTTTTATTTTTCAAATTATTTCAGCTTTTCTAGGTTATTTGATATCCACTTACATTTTACAATCAGCTTATTAGTTTCTGTGAAATATCTGTCAGGATATGGATTGAAAATGCATTTACTCCATAAATAAAGTTGGTAAGAATTGACATCTTATTGATACCATTGCCATACTGTATTTTTTCTATTTGGACTTTTATTACTCTCAGCATTCTATTGTATTTTTCATCATAGATGTTATCCATAATTTTCTTGATTATATTTCTAGGTATTTTATGGCATTTATGTTATTTAAAATTACATTTTCTAGTTGTTTGGAATGTATTTAGAATTCTAATTTATTTTTTCAAAGGATTTGCTACCTAAATCCTTGCTAAATTTATTAATTAATTTTAGCAGATTAATTTGTTACTTAGGATATTATAGAGGAACAATTATACAATCTATGAAAAGAGGCTATTTTAGTTCTTCATTTCAAATCTTTTTTCTTTTTCTTGCTTTTTTGCACTGACTAGGATTTCCAGTAAAGTGTTGGCTACAAGTGTGGAGAGCAGACATACTTTTCTTTTTTTCTTTTACTCTTAGAGGAATAGCATTTAGTCTTTCACATTAAGCATTTCATCAGCTATCGTTGTTGTTGTTTTTAACATGGCCTTAATCCGATTAAGACAGTTTCATAGTGTTTTTGAGAGTTTTTCATGGATAGATGCAGAATTTAGTCAAATGCACTTTTATCGTAACTCGATGACAAATATCACAGTATGATTATATGTGTTTGAAATTATAAATGTGTAAATCCTTACAGTATTCTATAAGTGAAGCATTATTCAAATTAATTTTTCATTTAAGTAGGTAAGTTAGTGTGTTTTTATAGTAGATTCAAAAGCCTATGCAGTTTTGACCATGCCCTCATGTCCTGGGTATTAGAATGTCTAGTGCATTAGTATGTTAGTGTATTGGTATCATTGTTGCTAATCCAGCCTGCCCTTCCTTATTTTACGGTATCATTGCTGTTCTGTTTTCCCCGAGTGCTAGTGCTACTTAGCATGTTGAATATTGACAAGAAAATGACACAAAGCAACTTGCCAGTCATAACTTTGCACTTAGCTCCATATATACTTGGAGTTAGCCAACGGCATTTCAGCTAACACATATTTTATAGGATGCCTTCAATCATAAACTACTGCTTTTATTTTTTGTTCCTCTTGCTATGTTATAGATATGGCTGATGACATTTTTCTCCTTGTGGTGGATAAAGAACAAGCACAAGAAAAACCATTTCCAGGCTGTGATCTCACAGTGGCTTGTGGGGCAAGCATATAAATAAGGTACTGTGGATAATTTGCATGCTGGTTTAGTACTTTTTAAATCTTCCTTTTAAAATGCATTTTAGAAGGAATATATCAAGCATACATCAAATTTATGTAAGTGCTGTTGGTGGAAATCTTACATATTTCCCCCTTTCAAATTGAAATTTTGAAACATTCAAACATGGTATTTATGTCATAAAATGAAATGTCTCCTTAATTCTATCTAAACATGTATTTCTCAGATTTTATATATTTATATAAAAATCATGTTTCTCTTAACATTTTGTTGGTGTTCTCTCTTGTCATTACTTATATAAAAAGATCTAATTTAGTATTTGCCAATGTTTTATTTACAAATGTGTTTCATTGAAGAAGTAAATGGTTTAAATATTTTTATGATTTTATTTGGTCCGAACAGTTCTAGACCACCATTTACCCAAATAGATTTGCTTTTTTAAACTCAAAATGCCAAAAAATTGTATTCGTAATATCAACATTTGGGATGTTTAGTGAAAGTTACTATTATGTTGATATTGGTATAAATTGCAAATTTTCCGGTAGTCACTTTTAAAACCAGGATTTGTTCAAACAACAAGTAGTAAATTTATTTGAGATTATTATTTATACACATAAAAGATCTCTATTTCTTTTATGTGTATAAATAATAATACCTGAGGTACCTATTCTTAATGAAGATGAGAGTCAATAACTCAGAAATAGCCAAATAATATTTGAAGGGAAGTGACCTGCTAGTGGGACCTCACACAGTGTTAATTTTGGTTATATACTAAAACAGCAATGATAGCTAACATTTCATGAGTAATTACTACCCACAAGGCACCGTAAATTATGCCTTATATATATTATCTCATTTAATCCTCACAACTAATTTATGAGGTAAATAATACTATTACCATTTTGAAAGCAGATAAAACTGAGGCTTTACAGATATTGCAGATATTGTCCACTGTCATTCCACCAGGAAGTATCAGGAGGGAGTCTCCAACTCCATAACCTGTGGTCTTAGCTACTGCTCTACACAGTTAATGGTAAACAGAGGGTTTGGGTTACAAGACTGGTACCTGCATGGATCCTAGAGGCTCTAAATAAATATATTTGCATGAATAAAACTAACAACACAACAGCCTATACTTGTGATTGTGATATTTTTCATCAAATCAGGATATGAGGTCTGACAGGTATGAGTAGCTAAGGAAACAGGCTGGACAGGATCTCTGATACTCTGGCCATCTTACACACTTTGGGAATAATGATTGTTGTAACTACAGGTTATATGTGCTGAATTACAATGAACCAGTCACAACATTGCCTTTTCCAAGTCATTCATGAAAGATGTGATGTTAGGTCGATTGCACATATTCCTTCAGGCCAATCCTAGAATATTGTCCTTATGAAATTCCAATGTTGTGTTTAAGAATACAGTATAGAAAAAGAGAGAGCTACCGATAAAGTGATGAAGGAGAACACACTTTCCTGGTGTTATCTGGTCGTTAAGCTAAACAAGATGCAGGCAATTGCATTTTAAAGTTATAACTGTTAGACATATACTTTTTGAAATGTAAGCAAAGGCCATACAAATGTCATTACTTTCTGTTTACTTCTTATTTCTAACTGTAATAAGCAGTTACTTCTCCAATTAATATTTTTGAAATCCATTTCGATAAGAAGGAAAAAAGTAGCACAGATTAATTTTTTAGCCATCCTTAACCCCTGTCACATTTTGAAATGTCTTTCCTGTTCTAAAATGTGGCACGTATGCACTTGGAAATATAAATTGAAGCTTGACTTCATGGATATGGTCCATATTAAAAAAAATAAAGTCAGAAAAGGCATTTTTTGAGCTGTATTATTAACTTATTGTTAAGTATAGGGTATAGACAAATGGCTGCTAATGTAATAGGACTTCAGCTTGGTCTGAAAAGAATGATCAGTGTCTGAATGTTGGCTTTTCGCACAGGACAGATGGATGCACTGACCTTCCAGGGGCTGTTTATTTTGGGATGGAGAAGCAAAATAAAAGAGAGAATAAGGGTGCATAACTGTTCATCAACATCAGAGCTGGAAGTGTTTGATACTTCTTGGTCGTTTTCCAGACCCATTTTCATTACCTATTGGCTTTGTGCGAATGTCTGAATGATGCCACATGAGATGCTCAGAATTTTGGACTGAGAAACCTGCTGATCAGTGAGATACATCCAGTGATCACTGGATTTTTCTAAATAATTTCTGTTGTTCACTCTTCATTTCCCTACCTGGCGATCTCAGCAACCAGCAACTCAAATAGGAAGGAGATGTTATTCCCATAATACCTTTGTTTCTTCTCTGGAAAGATTGTCTTGAATATCCTTACCTGCACATAATTAGATCATATGACCCACTTAGCCACCTTTAAGGCCAAACATTCCCACAAAGGAAGGGCCTGGGAAACATGCTTTCCAGCTACTTCTAACTAGGGTAGAAGACACACTAGCAGCTTGATTTCACGTCAAGTGATGTGGGTGGCTTTCTTCTAAAGCTTGATTTCACTGTGTGCCAGAATGCCTGTGTGGAAGTCTAGTCTCAGAAGCTAAGCTATCATCAATTTGTACTTCGGGAACTTCCAGGTGTGATGAGATTCTAACACCAGGAGCAATGAACCATGTGGTAGGGCTGGAGAGGGAGAATACTGTCATTCGCAGAGTGAGCACACAACATTACCTTGGGTAATGTCTTCAGTCTCAGGAGCTTGCTTCCTCTTGGGTTTTCTATAGTGTGTGCTGTTATAAAAATAACTGCATATGACCTAAAAATGTGTTTAGGGAGGACTGCTGCTCTCTCCACTGACCCCAGGATATGTTGTTGGATAGGTGATCCCTAGTAAATCCTACTTTGGAAGAATATTAGAACGTATGTCATGGATACCTAAAGACAGTGATGCTTCCACAACATTATGTGAATGTGTTTTTCATGGATAGGAAGGAGAATAGGGAAAGAACAAAGGACGGGAGGTCAGAGGCCCTGAATAGAGGCTGAACTTTCAATTACTGAGGTTGAAATCCTGAATTCATAATTTACTTAAGAACAACTAAGAGTTAAGTAAGAAAGCTATTCTTTTATTAGCAAGGTTCTTTACTGCTATCAAAATATATAGATGCATCTAAGAAACTTGAGATTCAAGAGAAATAAGGTCGTCACGTTTTTGCAGATCTGAGTTGGAGCTCTAAATTTTGCTCTCCATTAAATATTGCTTTTGACTGAACCTGTTCATGTGTAGGTTAAGTATTATATACTTGTGTGTGTGTGTTTATATTGTCCTTTTTCAATTTCTGAAAATATTTCATTATGGCTTTCTAACAATCCTCCAATATTTATTCTGAGCCTATTATGTACAGTAAGATACAATCATTGACTTTAAGAAACTTACGGTTCAGTTGAGGAGTCAGAACTTAGGTGTATATAGTCATACTACAATGGAATATAAATGCTAAATATATGACACAGACAAATGCTAGAGTGTTTTAGTTGAGAGTTAACTGCAAATTGCTTGGGCTATCTAGAGTAAAAAAATCTTGGAGCTTATGGGATGCATAGTATACGATAAGCTGTCAATAATAATCATTGTTAATGGTTAAAAAAAATGTGTGTGAATGTGTGTAATTTGGCTCCATAGACTTGTATTGAGAGAAGGAGATGTGAATGGATGGAAACATTAGCATGACGACTCATATAATTGTTGCAGCAATTAAGAGATTAGAAGGAATGTTTCATTGTTATAATGGAAAGGGGCTAGAGAATTAAAGAGCTCTGCTTACTATCCTGATGGATCGTATGCATGCAGCAGAAAAGGAAAAAAGAAGTACTGCTGACGACCTAGGGTCTTCTTAGCCAGAGGTCTCTATGGACACATTATCAATAGTAATGGCAACCATAGTGTATTACATGACAATGTGCTTAGCCAGAGCTCAGGTGTTGAAGATACAGACTTAGGCGAGCCCCTTGTTGAGGTACTTGAGGTATCCTGGTTTCAGTCAGATCAGGTCCACTCATTTAATACTGGCCTGAGTCCCAAGGCCAAGATACAAGGACTGAGACTGGTCAGTGATTTGAAGCGGTGCCTGATTCATGCAAGAAGCTAGAAATGTCAGCTGCTGCTTGAGGTAAACATTTGTTTTCCAGGGTAAATGTGACAGCTTCTGCTTTTCATAATAGTGTCACTCAAGCATGTGTCTGAAGGACAGCAAGACATCATGGAAATAGCTTTCATTCCTAATTCATATTTGTGTTTAACTATAGAACCATTTAATCCACCATCTCATTGTGATCATCAAAACAGAGAAGCTGCAAAAGATTTCCTTCATTATAAAAATAAAACCAAGTCCTGCTCTCTGCTTCAGATCCCTTTGAATGCTAATGCATAGCAGCCAGGATTAAATTAATCTCAGCTGTCTCAGTCACGCTTGGCTAATGAATCATAAAATAGCTTCATCTTCGTATGACAAGTTGCCCTTGATGGCAAATTAAAATCTTAATAAGGGTTTTTAAAATACACATGCATATATACATGCACAATCTCTTTCATTAGAGCTCAATGTCAAAATACGAATTCTTTTGCTTTGCATTTCAGATATCGTAAACTTTTGAGAACATCCTCTAGATCTTTTATCTGGTGGCTTAAAATTCTGTATACACAATACCTTTAACTTAACTTTCAAAATAATTGTTTTGGAAATCTTGCCAGAGTTGTTGGACAATGGTTTGTTTTTAAAGATTATTTATATGTCATTTATTAACTGTTTATTTAAATAATGCAAATATTAATGGTCTAATTTTCTACCTCCCATGCTTCCTCAATAATGGTGGCTTCTTTGGTGTCATGATGTGACAGAGATGTCAGAGCCCAATTACAGAGGCAGATTCCTGCAGTGCTATGGAGGGGAAGATTCTGGAAAAGGAGATGAAACAAATAACAACAGCAGTAGAAGCAAATTAAACCTTAGCATGAATTTTATACAGCACATCCTGGTAAAAATATTGTTTGGAATAACAGTCGCTGTATGGAACAGTGCTGCTCAAACTTTAACATGCGTGCACATCACCCGGAAATCTTGCTGAGTGTAGATTCTTACTCAGTAGCTCTCAGGTGGACACAAGAGTCTGCATTTCTAACCAGCTACTTGTGATGCTGGTGTGGCTGATCCATGGGAAACACTGACAAGCAAGGTACAGCATAATGTACATATAAACAGAATATTTTATTTTGTTTGAAGATGCAAATCCAATTTTAGAAAAAGATGTATCTAGGCAGGTAGTTATACTTTTTCTAAATATGGTGAATTAGCTGGCTAACTTCAAATACATTTGTCTACCTACCTTTGAATTCACTTTCTTGGAATTCTCAACATTGGCTTAATATCATAGAGATTTGACTCAGAAGGAATTTCTAATGAGATATATTAGTTTAGATTTTTTAAAAAAGAAAAACAACAAAAAAGAACACATGGCAAAATATAAATTAAATAGAAAAGCATAATTTAAAAATTACAGTTTGATTTGTTGGCTGGAAAAGGGTATGGTGTTTTATATTTCTAAAAGAGGATTTGAAACAAGATTTAGAATATTACAACTAATTCTAACCACTTACCAATAATCAATAATTATTACTTAAAGTACCCAATCTGATGCTCACTGGAACAGGCGTGTATTCAACTGTAATACTAACATTTATGCCAGGTCAAAACTCCATTCCAAATGCCAAGACATTTAAAAAACTAAATTCTTAGATGTTATCTCAGGACTTTTTTTTCTTTTTCCAAAGAGAGAACAATATTATTGGTGCACTGACCTTTCTCCCAGATTCTAAACTCAAATGATTGTTTAAAAAGCAGAACTCTTACAGTCAAGCTGGGTATTTATTATTTGAATGTTTCATAGCAAATCCCTTTAATAGGTTATTAGAATATAAATGTTTGCTGCGTATCAATTCTATTATCCTTATTTATAGAATGCAGAACAGAGGTACACTGAGATATCCAAGACTTTGCGGCCAGTTCAAGAAAAGCCAAGTATAAGGAACAGGAGTCTGTTAGTGGCTTATTTTACAGATGAGTCATGTAAAACCATGTGGGAAAGACCAGAGGAAGATTTACCAGTTGTTAAATTTCAATTCATCTGAGTTATTGGAATTTAATTTTAGAAATACATACTTGGATTATGATTTTTTTCCTAATGTGACAACACTACGAGATAGGACTCAAACAAAAGATTCCTAACAACATGAATATGCTACTCTATCGTTCAAAAACTAGGAATCAGGGACTTTTAATGTCACACACCTGTTTTTATTGCAAAGTATTTTCATATATTAGGTGCCAAATGACTAACAGCTAAAACAAAATGAATTTTTACACATTTAAAAATTATAGGCATTAGGTTTTTAAAACGAACCTTTTTATTTTAGAGTGACTTTAGCTTTATAGAAAAATTGTGACAGAGAGTTTTCACACATCCCCCACTGTCTCCTCCTTCTGACATTAGTATCTGGTCTTACTATGGCACATGTGTCACAATTAACAGTATCAACATATTGTTCCCTAAAGCCCCTAATTTATTTAGATTTCCTTGGTTGGTTTTTACCTATTTATTTCTTTTCTGTTCTGGGACCCCGTCTCACCCAGGACACCATGTTAATTACAGTCATCATGTCTTTGGGGTCCTTCTGGTTGGGACAGTGTCTCAGACTTTGTCTCTAAGACCTTGATGGTTTTGAGGAATACTGGTAAGATGTTCTGCAAAATCTGCCTAAACTTGAATTTGTCTGTTGTTTTCTTTTTTCTCAATTAGACTGAGGCTGTGGTTGCTGGGAGTCAGAATGGAGAGGTAAAACACCATTTCCGTCACATCAGTACTGGCTATTTGCTGTTGGTTTTAACATGTCACTGTTGATGGTAGCCTTGAACACCTGGTAAGGTTAGGTTTTTCACGGGTTTCCATGACAAAATGTCCCCTTTTGTCCACGTTTCCACTCTGTATTCTTAGAAAGGAAAGTCACTATGTAGTCACTGCCACTCTTAAGAAGTAGGGAGTCCTGTTCCAACTTTCTGATGGCAGAATATCTACAATAATTATTAGAAATTATTTTGCATGAGATGTTTGCCTATTCTGCTTGTTAGTTGTTAATATTTCCCTGTTCATTCATTCAGCTATTTATTTATATCAGTGTGGACTCATACATATTTATTTTATATTTTGGATTATGATCTAATCCTATGTGCTTTATTTACGTTGCTTATTTCAGTTATCCCATCTCTGACCATTGGGAGCCCTTTCAGTTCTCTGCTGTGTTCTTCTGACATACACACATCATTGTGGGGCTGTTGTTCTTTTGTTTGTTTTTAAACTTTCTGACCTTCTGGCACTACAGTGATTCTAGGGCTTATCTTGTAAATTACCTGGACAAGTCCTGGACTCAACCACTTCTTCAGTAAGCCCTGGTTCCTTCTACTGGAAGATGGTATTAGAAAGCAAGATCTAGGTGCTAGGTATGCATGCTGCTATTGGTGAGTCGTTGCTTCTAGACCCTCTCAGTTGGCAGAGCACAGAAATGCATGTATGTACACTATCCCATGTAGGTATGCATGCCTATAAATATAATATTTTAATATATAAACGTGTTTACAAAAACTGAATTAGTAACATTAAGCTGTGTATGAGTTCATACTGATGCCTCCACCTCAAATCCTAAGGGTCATTGTAGCTGCCTTCTCTTCACTGTCTGTAACTTCCCACTCCTGAAACAAACACCTGGGTGGTAGCAGCTACCATCTATATACTTAACTGCTCAATTTAAGTATACATGCATAGTGGTTTCCCTAGTGGGAATCAACTTTATCAGCCAGACTGCAGGATGAAGGTATAGTTTCTTGTGATTTAGTCTTACAGACAACTCTCATTTCAAAAAATACTTAGATCAGTACCTCTTTCCTTCATGCCCTTCATTTGGTTGTTTTATACATTTTTAATATAGTTAAGTTAGACTTTTTAGTCACATGTATTCCATGCTGGGCTCCCCTGACCTCCTAACTTATTTTAAGCTTGCATGCAGTAAGGTTTACTCTTTGAGTTATAAATTTCTGTGAGTTTTGTACTTATCATTACAGTACCATAAAGTTTCACTGCCCTGAAAATTCCCATGTACTTTACCCTTTTTTTCTACCTCTCCCCCCTTTCTGACCACATCTTATTGTTTTACAATCTCTATAGTTTTGCCTTTTCCAGAATGTCATAGAAATGGAATGATACACTATGCAGTCTTTTCAGACTAGCACGTTTCACTTGGCAGGAAGCACTGAAGATTCACCCATGTCTGTGTAAGGCTCCGTGACTCATTCCTCTTTATTGTTGAGAAGTATTCCACGGTGCACCACAGTCTGAGTATCTATTCAAGTACCGAAGGGATGTATTGGTTAATTTCTGTTTTGGGAAATTATGAATAAAGCTGCCATACATACTTGCTTGCAGGGTTTAGTGTAAACATACTTTTCAAATCAGTTGTGTAAATACTTAGGGGCATGACTGCTGGGTCATATGGAAGACATGAGTGGAAACTGCTCAGATGTCTTCCAGGGTCTGCTGCATTTTGTAGTCACTAGCAATGAATGAGAGTTCGGCTGGCTTTGCTTTCTTGCCAGGTATTGCTGTTTTGGGGGGTTTAAGAATAACAATAGATGTGTCGTGAGTTTCATAACTAGTTTAATTTATATTTCCACAATGACATATAATATTGAGCATCTTTGTCTTTTCGTGTGATACTTTTACTCTTGATGAGGTGGTCATTCAAATTTGCCCATTTCTTAATTGAGGCACTTGTTTTCTTACTGTTGAATTTTAAGAGTTTTGTATTTGTTAGAGTCCAGCCTTTTTATCACACATGTGTTTTGCAAATAGTTAATCACTTTCTTGGGTTTCCATTTTTATTCAGTTAAATAAATGTCTTTTGCAGAGCAGACATTTTAAATTTTAACAATGCCTAACCTCGAATCTTTTTTTGTGTGTGAATGGATCATGCTTTTGGAGTTGTATTTAGAAACTTATATCAAATTGAAGGTCAGGTAGACTTTCTGCATTTTCTTTTAGAAGTTTTGTACCTTAGTATTTTATATTTGACGTTTATGCATCATTTTGAGTTAAATTAAAAAAAAATTTTATTTCCATAGGTTATTAGAAGACAGGTGGCATTTGATCACACAAATGTTTTAGCAGTGATTTGTGAGATTTGGGCGTATCCATCACCTAAGAAGTATACGCTGCACCTGATTTGTATCTTTTTTTTTTTTTTGAGACGGAGTTTCGCTCTTGTTACCCAGGCTGGAGTGCAATGGCGCAATCTCGGCTCACTGCAACCTCTGCCTCCTGGGTTCAGGCATTTCTCCTGCCTCAGCCTCCTGAGTAGCTGGGATTGGGGCACGCGCCACCATGCCCAGCTAATTTTTTGTATTTTTAGTAGAGACGGGGTTTCACCATGTTGACCAGGATGGTCTAGATTTCTTGACCTCGTGATCCACCCGCCTCGGCCTCCCAAAGTGCTGGGATTACAGGCTTGAACCACCGCGTGCGGCCGATTTGTATCTTTTATCCCTTACTTCCTTCCCACTCTTTTCCCCTGAGCCCTCAAAGTCCACTGTGTCATTTTTATGCCTTTGCATCTCATTTTGAGTTAACTTTTGTGAAAAGTGTACAGTCTGCGTCCAGGTTCATTTTTTTGGCAATAGGTATGCAACCATTCTGACACAATTTGTTTAAAAAAACTGCCCTTTCCCCATTGAATTGCATTTAGGACAATATAAAAACTTAAGTGACTATGTTTGGATCTATTTATTGGCTTCATATTCTGTTGATTGATTAATGTGTTTTGTTTTTGAAACCACGCTCTCTTGATTAATATAAACTTTATAGTGAGTCTGGAAATTGGATGATGTGAGCCCTCTAACTTTGGTCTTCTTCATTAGGGGACAATTCTAGATCTTTTGCATTTCTTTGTACTTTTGAATCAGGTTGGTGATATCTAAAAAATAGCTTGCTGGGATTTTGAACATGGAATATATCTTCATTTATTTAAATCTCATTTGATTTCTTTCATCAGTTTTGTAGTTTTTCACATGAAGGTACTTAGATATTTTGTTGGATTTGTTCTAACAAAGTAGTTCATTCTTTTGGTGCTATGGTAAATTGTATTCTTTTCTAAATTTTACATTCCAACTGTTTACTCCTAGTTTACAAAATAATTATATATATTAATATTGTTCCCTGTGACCTTGATATACTCATTTGTTACTTATAATTTTTTTTTTTAAATCTACACATAAAAAACAATGAGTTTGTGTCCTTTGTAGGGACATGGATGAATCTGGAAACCATCATTCTCAGCAAACTGACACAAGAACTGAAAATCAAACACCACATGTTCTCACTCATAGGCAGGTGTTGAACAATGAGAACACATGGACACAGGGAGGGGAGCATCACACACTGGGGTCTGTTGTGGGGGATAGGCTAGGGACAGTGGGGGGTGGGGAGGTTGGGGAGGGAAAACATGGGGAGAAAAGCCAGATATAGGTGACGGGGGGATGGAGGCAGCAAACCACCTTGCCATGTATGTACCTATGCAACAACCCTGCATGATCTGCACATGTACCCCAGAACCTAAAGTACAGTTAAAAAAATCTACACAGTCATTCGTATGACAGTTTTATGTCTTCCTTTCCCATTTGTATATTTTCAATTACCCTTTTCTTGTTTCATTGTGCTAGTTAGCATTTCTGGCACAATGTCAAGTAGAATTATGTGGGGGGACATCCTTGCCATTTCTAATCTTAAGGGAAAATTATTAAGTTTCTCATTATTAGGTAGGAGATTAACTGTAGGTTTCTAGTAGAAGTCTTTTTATCAAGTTGAAAAGTTTCCCCTCTGTTCCTAGTTTACTGAAAATTTTTATTTTGAAAAGTTGTGAGGTTAGTGAGATGTTTTTTCTGCATCTATTGACACGAGCATATGATTTTTCTTCTTAGCCTGTTGTCATGGTGGATGACATGGATTGAATTTTGAGTGTTGAATCATACTTTTGTATCCTTTACTTCAGGAATGAAGTGATCCCACTTGGTTGTAGTGTATTTTTAAAAATACATTGTTGGCTTTGTCTCATTAATATTCTGTTGAGATGCAATTATAAGAATGTTGGAGTCTGGATTACTCTTTTGCAATGTTTTTAATGGTGTTAAGGTAATTCTGGCCTCATAAAATGTTCTGGGAAGATTCCCTCTGCTTCCATTTTCTGCAATGAAGTTTATAAAGTTTAACCTAATTCTCCTGGTTTTCATGCCTAAGTATCACCCACTACTGTGCCTTACATGTCCCAGTGTAAGCGCTCTCTGAATCAATTTCTTTCTGGGTTGGGGAGATATGGTTACTAGTTTCAGATTAATGACTATAAATATACAGTTTGATAAAATAAATAAGACCTACTGTCTGCTAGATTAGTAGGGTGACTGTAGTTTACAATAATTGTTGTATGTTTCAAAATATCCAGAAAAGAATAATTTCAATATTTCTAGCATAGAGAAAAGACAAATATTTAAGGTGATAGACATCCTAATTGCACTGGTTTTATCTTTATTGTTTACATGAATGCAGTAAATTATCACATGTATCCTGAAAGTGTGTACATTATGAATCAATAAGAAAACATTTAAAAATGGTAGAAGGAACCGTGGATGTCTGATCACTGTTTATTCCAGCTGTCTATTGGCCCTCCTAGTTTTGAGCCCTGTCTGTTCACTCTACATGCAAAACTCAGAACTTCTCGTTGTTTATCTTTCCCTGTTCTTTAGTGAAAAATCCTCTTAGGATTCAGCTTCCTTTGTTCTGCCGTCAGTTTCCTCTGTCTCCCATTTAAATATTTGTTAATGTCTCTCATCCACTGCAGCCTCTCCATTCAGTCACCTGCCTGTGATTTTAGTGGGATTTGTGGAAGGAGCAGACATAGGTGAGTGTGTGTCTAATCTACATTTACCTAGAGTTCCTGTAATTTATTTGCTTAGAAATGTTATGAAGCTCTTACAAAATCATATGACATCCATATTGCATTATTTAATAGAGCAGAACCTTACATTTTATGAGTTTATCGTTCATGTAAAAATAATAGAAACCTGAAGGAGACTTGAAAGGCTTGAGGCTGAAAAGCATCTAATTTATGGAATTTGAGAAATGTAGGATCCCTAAGGTAGAGTTGGGTGTTCTTCTTTGTGGCGGATCTTCTCCTTACTCTGGAATAAGATGATTTGATGAGTATAGCTGCATGCACATGGTATAGTTTCAGTATAAACTCATGCAGGATTGAGGTTAGAGCTTAGTCATTATTCTTGATACAAAGGATTAACCCAAATGTAGTTTCTTCATTTGGAGCTACTGTACCTTTATTTAGAAATGGAAATTGGGTATAGAAACAAGGCAGTATCTTTGTACAATAGAGCATTTTACCCCTAATTTTAGACTTGAATCATTCAATGAAGAAACATGAAGCATGTGCTCAAGAATGTGGAGGCCACACTACTGTTAGAAGCATGGTCCCCGCTCAGTACTCTGTGAAGAAAATCCCATGACAAAGGATTGGCTTGACTAACACTTCCAACTAATGATTAGCTCTTCTTTGCAAGGTTATTTAAGAGTGGATAAATATGACTTTGGGGAAGGTGGAATATTTCATTTGTATTTTTTGGTGAACAAACCATTTTTGAGTTTCTACTTTCTTCTTAAGTAAATAGCTATCTTTATTGTGGATTAACATGGACCTGGAAAGAAGGCAGGACCCGGATTTCTACCATTGTTTTGAGAATGGATATTGGCAGGTTTTCTCAAGCCACCTCTCCTCCAACCCTCCTTGACACCCTTTGTCCTGAAATCTAGCTCTGCAGACATAGTTATGGTGGCGGAGTGGTACATATTCTCAGAGGATAGGAAGTTTACAGAGAAGAGGGGAATGAAACCCACATCCAGAGACAGAATTACCTGAAACTTTAACATCCAGGGACTCTTATTAGATAAATTCCTCCAAAATCTTGGGAGAGGCTTCCTCCATGGCATTATGTTTTATAAGTTATGTTTTATGAATGGCTGCTTTTTATAGAAATGTACTTAATGAAGAAGAGAAAATCTGATTCAAAACCTGAAGAATGGATGAGTCACATGCCTATTTCCTACTCTGTCCAGTGCTCCTTTCTTCACTGGAAATTTCTTAGCCAAAAGCATCATTTGGAAGAAGCAAAGACAATCCTATCTAAATGGATGTGTGCAGAGAGGACATTCTATTTACGAAGAATTTATTTCCTGCTTCCTGTAGATGGAGCTAAACCCTTAAGCATATGTTTACATGTGTTGGAATTCCTGGGAAGGTCTTTGAAAGACAGTAATAATGCTGCTGCTGAAGGCTTTTGATTCCTTTGACAATAAGTGGGGCCACAATGTGCACAATTTGGTGCCAAAGAAAGTTTGTCGGCAGAATTCTGTACCTGCCTTCTAGTCTCCGCAGAGAGCAGAATTCTGTACCTGCCCTCTAGTCTCTGCAGACAGCAGAATTCTGTACCTGCCTTCTAGTCTCCGCAGAGAGCAGAATTCTGTACCTGCCCTCTAGTCTCTGCAGACAGCAGAATTCTGTACCTGCCTTCTAGTCTCCGCAGAGAGCAGAGAATTTGTTGTTGAATAGAAATGGCCAACAGTGTTACTATTGCTGTATTTTGCATTTTATCTAAGGTCGTATTCAACTTATTTTTTTCCCATAAAAAATTAAACTGTTAAACGGCCTATTATCCATTGTGCTTTTTACACGGGTGTTTCCTGGACTTGTCTGTTGCTCAGTGCGATTGAATGACCATGTATGACAAATAGTAATGAGCTCATAGTATTTCCCTTAGTCAGTTAATAAACACTGCATGTCTTTGCAAGAAGAGACGCACTTTATTACTTCCCCATATGGTTTCAAAGGGATGTGAGAGCACAATGAGTCAGGCCAACAGGAAGCTTAAAAAAAGAAACAGAAAAAGAAAAGTTTTTAAAGAATTCTATTGTGTTCCTACCACGTTGCTCATAGCACTATATTTGTTTATTAATTCTCAAAATGGGCAAAGAAATTTTATACTTTAATAAGAAAAGAAAAAGACAAATAATATTTCAGGGAGTTTAAATGTCAATATTTATATGGAAAACAATTTTATTAAGTGAATTCACCCATGTCTTAAGTGCTTCTTGGTATATCCAAGAGAGCATTAAATGCATGTTACTTCTTAAAAAAAAAAATGACCCTTAAAAAGTTTTAAAGATATTTTTCTATTTTTTTTTCCATTCAGCTTCCATTTTTGTAACTAGTACACTAATTCACAGGCAAAGTAAAAACAGATTATAACACAAAATATTATTTTGAGCTATTTTGATTGTTTTTGAACTTCATAATTATTTGAAGTCAAGAAGCAAGAAATGCTGGAATCAAAGTTAATTTCAGGCTCTATATTTTTAAGCTGTATATTAAAATCTCTCTCACCCTATGTATACTTTAATTTTTTAAAATTCTGACATTTTCAAAAATCAAGTATAAATTTTATCTGGATTAATACATAAATTTGTACATTGAGTTAATTTAGTCATACATGAGCTTTACATTTATATTCCAAGTAATTTTCAGAAACATTGGAGTACTCAGTTTTGTAGGCTGGTTAGCATTTTGTGTATCATTTACTATTAGTTTTTAGAGTTAGAGGATTAATGAAAAGAAATATTGGTACTAAATTGGCAAGTTCTGAAATCTGTGGTTTCCAAGTCAACATTCAGGATTATTCTTTTAAAAAAATAGTTAAATTTTCTCAGTGTTACATTTACTATATTACAAATAGTGCCTTGTTTTGATTTGTTAGGAAGACATTAATGGCATATTCTTTTTTATGCAGTTTTCTTAAGACTCCATTAAAACAAATGGCTTTCCGGTCTGTGTTCCCTTCCAGGTCAGCTAACAATTTTATATTGATTTGCAAAAGAGACTCCATTATAAAAACCTTCTGTAATTATCTAAATTCCATGTGTTTAGGAAGCTTTTGAAGCATCCAGGAATAAGCCAATTTCCTTAATGGTGAGAAAGAATTGTATGGTGGATAGAATAAATGCTTGTCTACTTACTTAGGCTTGTGTATAAGTCTGTAAGTATATGATTTGCCAATTTAAAAAAATAGTAAAAATTCTAATCTTCATTGGTAATGTTTTCTACATAAAAAAGCAAACCATTAGCAATTATAGTTCTATTTCTTAGTAATAATACTGCCAATCAGCTATCTTGAAGATGGAACAGGAAAACCAGACTTATATTCAATGTGATAAGGAAACCTGAATTCATTTTATATACTCTAAAGTTATTAATAAGTAACCATAAGAATAGATTAAATAGATTTGTAAAGATCATTGAAAAAGTCCCTAACTTTGCCTACATACCTATAGCACATTTACACTTTAATATTTTAATATCAATATGCCTTCTTATGAGTTGTGTGTTTGCAAACTGACCATGTTTTTAAATTTGTTATTTCAAATTCCCCTTTGTTTAGGACTCTTGAAAGCACACAGGACTAACTGAGTTAGGACAATGGGCTTCCACTGTCCCCGTGGCTGTTGCCTTATTTAATAAGGCCTGGCTTGTGCAGTCACCAGTTGGATTGGATTATGTTCTTCCTGACATTTCCATTCACTCTGTTGCCCAGCCCTGATATGTTAAGCAAGATGAGATATCCTGGGGCCAGGATGATTTTCCTTTTAAAGCATTCTCATCAGATTTAAATATTTACTGCTTTCCCCCATGTCAAAGTCAATTAAATATTTTCTCATAGGATTTATGAGAGCCAAAATGCAATCTGGAAAGGAACACATCCAAACCCACTGACTCAATTGTAGACTGAGAAATGAAAATGTGGATTTCACTGGAGTGTTCTGGCATGGCAGTTTAGTTAACTTTAGGAAGCCTGGAATGTGGCCCTAGGAAGGAAAATCCTTGAGCATTGAGGGGCCCCCTTAATGAATTTCTCCATTTCTCTATGATCTTTCCTTTAGTTCCATAGCCCCCACCTAAGTAGAGCGTGAGGTCGGTGGGAATAAGGAAAGACATAAAGCAAACGATGCTGTCAGCTGTCCAAATTGTATAACCTTATTCATGCTGATAACGTACTGCAGGGACATTCAAAAATGAGTCTGCATTTCCTGAGCATATCCTACCTCACCTTTGCTGTGAATAAATCACAGACTGTCCTAGATTCCAGAACTCCCAGCCAGCGAAGCTGGCATTCCAAGAGAATCCCCTGATTCTTTTTGGCAAAACTCAGTCAAGAACATATTGTCGGTTCTTCATGGGCTCAACTAACTGTGGATTCCATTCACAATCACTTTGCTTTGCGTGTCGTGTACACTTATGACTGTTGTGTTTATCAGCAGTTCCAGAGTGCAGCTGCGAGGTTGCTTCCAAATATTACAATATGGTTACACAATGTTTGTAGAATTTGGAATCCATTATTCTCATATTCAAGGACAGGTTTCAGATTTCAGCACTGAAAGATGTCTTCCCAGCTCTTTCATTGCTTTCAGGGCACTCAGCTCACATGGCCAGAGACAAGAACTGTGCAGCCTCCACAGCCACCTAAACCATACACTTTCTAGAGGACTCTATGAAAGCCTGTTTCATGTGCAGCAGGATGGAAGAATACAGATAACTTTTTCAATACTAGAACCATAAAAAGTCACTGAAACTATATTACCTTTTTGTTTATCCTAAAAGAGACAAATATTCACCCTATCTAGAAACCGAGAACATCTTCAAATGCACCTCTGTGTTGTTGAAAAAGGCATGATTTGGGGAACTTTAAAGATGTTGAAAAATGAAGAATTCTTTTATTTATTCCTTTGATAATTCTACTAGAAGTGCATTTTTTAACAAGAAGACAGTTTCTTTGTTCTTTGTTCATTAACATGGTTTTATTCATCATAACTTTGAATCAAATTATCCCTTTCACAAAACTGCTCACGTTGTTTCCTGTTCCTTGGCACGATGAAGCAATGCATATGTATGATGCGTCACCAAGTGTCATTTTAGGAAAGACCCTGTTAGTGTGCCTATGGAGAGAAGCGGAGGTAGAGTATCGTAGCCATGGAAGCCACTTTACTTTGCAGCCTTTAGCTTCCTGGAGGGAATCTGGCGATGGGAAAGGAATTCCATTTTGCATACTATATTGTTAGTGTGCAAATGCTTCACTTATTTATATCATTCAGTTCAATCTGGACATCTTATTTTAAAAATGTGTATCTCAGTCCCTCTTTGAAGAAACCTATAACAAAAATATATGAATCAGAGCTCACAATTTTACATTATTTATAGATCGTAATAACGATCTTGGCATTTGTATTTACCTTATGTTGAGATGGGAAAACATTTTGGAAGGTTTTTTGGAGCAATAGGAGAGGGGAATGAAGTACACCATTAAAACAGGAAGGACATTGCAGTCACCTAATCAGACAGCCTCAGGACCACCAGCAGATGGTGCAATAACCTATGTAATAGTATTATCAGAAAATAACCAAGAAAGGCGTCTTTCTTTTTTTGCGAATTAATTCTAAATACACCTAGAAGTAATGAGTTTAATGATGCATTTAAAGCAATAAACATAGACTCTGTAATAATTTTGTAATAATAATTATACATAATATCTGACTTTTTAAAAGAGACTTTAGAACTCTCTGGTTCTAGCCTGCTGTTTATAGCTGAGGAAAGTAAATTTCTTAAGTTTAAACTTCAACCACCAGCTAAGGAGTGTTGTGATGAGCATTCTAGTCATATGACTGAGCCCATCGCTCATTGATTGAACAACATTATCCCTCAGCAAATACCATGTCTAGTCCAATAATCAAAATTTGGCCAGCAGTGGGGTGGCATTTGATCATCATCCAAGTTAAGATTTCTCAGCAGATGTTTATCTGCGAAGAGTCCTCTACTTTTAGAACATTCATTGTTTTAGGAAAGAGGCATTTTCTGGGAGAACATGCTCTCCTGTCCTCCCTGTTTCCAGCAGCTGCAAACTAATGTGTCATTTTGCCAAATGCTTCCTGTATAGCTTCTGGCTATTTCTGCAAAAGAGCAAGAGAGAAAGAAAGAGAGAGAGAGAAAGAGGAGAGATTTTTTTTTTTACACCTTTGCTTTGTACTAGGAAAATATTTCTCATACAGTTAACAATGGCATACTAATGGGAATGATTTAAGAAGCCCTAGCTTCTACTCTGTTGCCAGAATGCCAACGGGAATGTATGCTACTATTAAAAAAATAGGTATTGACAGTAGCCTGCACTATTGCACTGCAGTGAAAGAGTGCGGAAAGCTTCAGTTTATAAAACATGCTTGATGCGTCAAAAATAATCACCTTCCCTGATAACTGAAAAGGACAGAGAATTAATACGACAGTCATGGACTCTTAAAAATTTATTTTTGATAATTAACATTATTTCTTCTTGACGATGTTGCCAAAAGGCTTGAACACAGTCTGAAGAAGATGCACGATCATTTATGCTGAAAACAAAAGAAATTAGAAGCTTTTGTTGCACAGATAAGAAAAGATGACATTTCTGAACACCAAACATCCTATCAGATCTATCCATATTTGTTTTATGAATGGGTAACATTTTCTATTAGCTAATGAAAAGATGGTAGTTTAACAGTGAAATAATTTTTAATGTATTATAATCAGAGAATACAAGGTAAGCAAAAGTACAACCAAATGTCTGACTAGAAAAAATATATTATCTTACGGAATTAAAAAATATTATTTTATTAAATAAAATATGGTTTTCTTTTGAAAGTGTCTGGAAATCAAAATGTAAAGATCAGTGCAACCATTTAATTGAGTTTTATTTTGACAAAAGGCATTCTGTGTATATGCATGTTTTAGAAATAAGATGAAATGCATAAATTCAGGTAAAGCATTTTGCCCACTACCTGTTTCAAATTATTGGTTATTATTATTGTTATTACCATTAGAAGACAGAAGAAGGGCCATCCAATTTTCAGCATATACAACTCTTAAGCAGAAGGACCTTTAACAAAAGCTAAGTGTCCAGGCCTTGGCTTACTCATCAAAGCCAATGACCACATCAGATGTTCCCTGGACGCCTTCTGACGTTTAGCATTTGGTGATTTTATCATCTTACTCCAAATAAAGGAAGCAGCAAAACCTCTCTGATTTTATTTTGAGATCTCTGCTTAAATAACTATAAAATGTATTTGACCACATTATGAGAACATTTGGTAAAATAAATTTTATTTGGAATGCCAACTTGAATTGGGAATTAACTATTAGAGGATGTGACTTCCCTGATGCTTCCCTCATTACTGGACAGAATTGGGGCATCCTATGGGATTGACTAGGAGAGCATATTTGCTTTTCTTTGTTTGGTCTTTAGTTGGGAATGAGGGCAAAATTTAGGGAAGCTGTCAGTTATTAATCAAGGGGTGGTCATTTTGGGCAGATTGCTCAGAAGTGGAGTTTGTGGGTCAGACTACTATTTTCTTTTTCTAGAGACAGGGTTTTGCTCTGTCACCTACCCTAGAGTGCCGTGAATGATCATAGCTCATGGCAGTCTGGAACTCCTGGGTTCAAGTGATCCTCCCGCCTCGATCTCCCACAGTGTTGGGATAACAGGTGTGAGCCACTGCACCTGGCCAAGAGTACCATGTTCATATATGGTCCAGTTGTAAGCCTTTTGTGTAGTTGCCCTCTTCATGTAAGGCAGCTCTAGTGGTAGTTACAGATTTTCTAAAAGGGAGAGAGGTACAGGGGTAAATTTGTGAATGGAGACTCTCAGGAAATTGATGACCCTGCATTTGCATAGAAAACTCCCTAGTTTTTCTTGGCCTATTTGTTTACATGGAGCAGCTTCTGAGCAGGACCCACTGGACAAGAGGCTGTTGGAGCCTGTCCTGTGTCCCACAGTCCACAGCTGCAGAGAATTCTTGTGTTAAATCCATCTCATTCTCATGGAGGTGCTGACATTAATTTTCTAATTGTAATCAAATAGCAAAAAGACTTTAAGAACAGTCATGAATTTCAAACCTTAAATAAAACATTCTTTTTTTATGCAAAACTCTCTCCTAATGAAGTATGCTACCAAATAATTTGCTTTGCAGTTCTCAGGGAAGTTATTGAGAAAATGATGAATGGACAGAAGGGGGAAAGAATAGAAAGATTGGAAAGAGAGATGGGCTGAAGAGCTTCTGAGTAACTTGAACAAAATCAAATACTAGGAAAATTAATGATTAATCAAACTAATTGATTTATAAGATGAATGCTCCACTCAGAATAAAAATAATGATATTAAATGGCAGAATAACTGCATTTGAGGTTATTGAAAGGAAAGAAAATCTCTGCAGTGACTGGAGTTAATGACTTGCTCCTGCCCTGCTATCAACTTCCTTCATTCGGAATATATATATTTTCTCTCTCTCTCTTCCTCCCATGGAATATTAATATCTATATGACGATTGGATTTGCTCACAAATCATAATAAAGCAAAATTATGATTTGAATATTACTTCCATATTTTGAATACTCCCCGAAGTGCCTTTTGAATGATTAGAGTGATTTTTCATTTAGTGCATGAAGACACTGAGTTAAAAATGAAGGCTGTATACACAGCCCCTAAATGCATAATATCATTTTACATTTTTATGAAGATGTTCATCTGAAGCTTTCAAAGCCCATTGCTGATTTAAGGTCGTTCACATTCAGCCATGCAGCTGCTCTGAAGACACAGGAACTGTGTAGCTCCCTATGGGGAATGTCAAGGACTGAAAGGTCTAAGATGTTACCCTACTTGCAACCAACAAGTTATGCAGCCACAGTTTTATGGATGCTGTCAAAAGGCATGACACTCCTGGGTAAGAGACAGAAGACTTTACTACTCGTGGTGTAGCAGCCAGCTGGAGCATCTTGTTTTTTGAGTTAATGCCACTTGTCCCCTAAGTCCCACAGGTAAGGATACGAATTTTCCCAGATGGAAGCTTAGAAGCATGCATGCATGGGGTGGTAATGCTGGAGAGGACCTCTGAACTTGGAGCTCAGAGCTTTAACAGTGGTTGGAAAGTGTATCTTTCACCTGCTCTAGAAAGAGACATGGAGGGAGTCTCCTTCATAAAAGACCTTTCATACTGTTTGGTATTCAAATACCCTTGGAAAGAGGGGCTGAGACACAGGGTGGCCAGTGCCTCTGCTCACAACATGTACCCAAATCCAGAGGCACATGAAAAATTATCTTCCAAAACAATGGTGAACTTTCCCATAAGCGCACCACTCCACTAGCTACTGTGATGAATCTGTTCAATTATTCCCTCTCTAGCATGCAATTTAGCATGAGGGCAGCCTGCAGTGGTGACCTAAGGTATGACACCCCACCCCCAATCCTAGATGCAGCCAATGGCAAACAGCATGAACTGGGAGGCGGCCGACCATCGCTTACGCCTCTGCTTCGTGCACGTGTTTTCTACTTTTCTTGCACTGTAAAGGCAGAGGTTGCATCAATACCCTTATGGCCTGCAAAGCCCAAAATAATTACTGGCTGACTCTTCTCAGTGAACATTTGCTAACCCTGTCACAAACCATCAGGTTCTACCGCAGATTGCCCTGTGGCTCTCGTTAGGTTTCTGTGTGGACGTTTCCACGTGGTCTGAGGCATTCATCCAAGAAGAGCATGGTGTGTTAGTGACTGCACAGATTCTGCCTTGGCCCAAAAAGAGAACATCCAGGGCAGTCCTGTCATCTGTAACAATGCTGGCCAGTGAGTTGAGGCTGACCTGAATGCTGTCCTGGGCTGAGATGGTGTCACTGATCACTTCAGCCGAAGATGGGAAATTTCTTAGCACCTGGTATGATTTGCTGACTTCCATGGTCAGGATAAGGGGTCTCAGGATGCATGGAAATACCACGCTTCTCTGGGAAGCTTCCCTGAGTTACCAAGGGATCCTCATGTCTGAGAGACCTCCACTGTCATCTGAGGGTCACATGGACTTTCCTGCAATGCTTCAAGGTCTCCTGTGATAACCCCTAAGATGGAACTCCCAGTGTTTTGGGGAGGTAGACTGTGGCATGCAGTTTTGACAAGTGCTCAGTAGCAAGACAATGGCTGCTTTTCAGAAGTGCACCTGGCAAGCCCAGCACCACCTGGGCACCTCTGAGTGAGGGCTGCCTCACTTTGTCAGAAGATCCTGTTGACGAAAACTGCCAGTTTTAGCTCAAGGGGAATAACTCAAGGAATCACTGGGGTTGGGGAGCCCCAAAGGTAGCAGGTGGGCCACAGCTTACTGGACTTTCCAACACAGCTTGTTGATTTGAGCTCCTCTAAAAGGATGTTTATTTGTGCTTTGATCAATAGAAAAGGCATGAAGGATGCCCAAGCTAGGCACATGCAGTCTGCAATACCCAGAGTTCAGGAAGGGACTGGGCTCCTCTCCAGGCTCTGGTGGTGATTTGGGGGAGAGCAGGCAGCAGAGGGACAGCTGTGTTTAGTCTCATGTCGGTGGGGATATGGAGAGTTTAATGGCTCTCATTTCACCCACACGATGCGAAGAAACATTACCTGGTCATAAAGCCCCTAAATTGTATGTGGTTTCCCCTCTAACAGAGGTGTTAATAATCCTATAATCAGGGCCACTGAGGCAAAGGCTTCTGACTTCCTGACCTATAGTGGGAACTTTGGGCATAGTGGGAAGGAGGCACTTGCATTGAGCCCTGACCTACACACCAGGAACATGTGGCTGAGGGGGTTCCTCCTGCTGGTCCTGCTCTAACTGTGGCTCTTACTGATGGAAAGGCAGCACTTGGAAGTGGAAAGCACAAGTGTGGAACATTTCAATTCCTGCTGTATGCTGCAGAAACTACCACAGGGCCCCAAGTACCCTCCTACCCTTCCCCACTAAGCACCCCCTTAACTTCATCACCTGAATTTGGGCTCCCATAGAACATGATGGGTGGAGACCAGAGAGTTTTTATCCAACAGAACCAGGCAAGCTTGAGGCTCACCTTCCCATTCCCCAGCATATTCCGCTGGGTAAGTGTATGCTTCAGTCCCTCTTGGGGACCCAGAGACTTGGGCACCATCCTTAATCATTTATGCCTGAGGTTGCAATTTTTTGAATTTGAAAAATCAGACCTGGGCGATGACCTTGAGAAGTAGTTTACAAACAACTCTCACATGCTTAGCATTCCAATAATGGAACACTAGGCATACATTGATAGGGTGCTTTAAATGCAATTGATACTCTGCAAGGATTCATTAAATAAGTAGAGAATGACTTTAAATATTTACCCATCTAACAAAGATGCATGACTAAGGGCAGATGTTTTGCACTTTTGTCTCTGCAGACGGTGCAGTTGGGTTTAGCTTGGTCATCTTCTTCTTAGACTGGCTGCTGGTGACAGTTTATTGAACCAATATGGTAAAGTGGTGTCCTTGTCTGTGTGCTTTGGGGTCCACAGCCCTCTTTAACAGCCTGTTCTAAGGTTCTCAACCATGTCACCATCTAGCTAACATTTCAGTAGGTGAAACCGCAGGAAGGCTTAAGAACCATGTTGCCATGTCCGCATCCCTATTCCTGATTCTTTTCGCAGACGTAGACCTGCAATCTTATGTCTCTATCCTTACTTTCAACTGGTTTTCTCTTTTTCTTCTCCTTTTTCCTGACCTCCTTTATGATTTTCATTTCTCCACTGTCTGAATATACCAAACCATCCTTTTGCTTCCTCTTTTCTCTTCATTAATTATTCCAGGGGCTCTTTTTAAATTTTAATTAGGAAGATTTATTATTTTAACATGCTTTATAAAGTTAGTGGCATTAAGGAATTAATGTCCTTGAAAACTCATACATGTTCATCTACTAGAACCCTCTAAATCCAAGGAGCAAGAACATGCCATCTCTGAGTGTCCGCAGGAACAATACCAGATCGTACGCCAAACACCCCAGAAAAGACTCAATAAATTTAACCCTTCAGTGCTCACTGTGGCCAACATGTATTCAATATGTATAGTTGCTTGTTTTTATATTTGATGAAGTCCTGCTATTTGAATTAAAGTAATCAAAACAACGACAACAACAACTACAAAACCCATACGTGGTGGTAGCGTAGGCGAGGGACTAGCAATTTCCCCATCTTTCCTGTCCTGTCTTTCCCAGTCCTCATCCCCCTGCTGAGAAGAGACAGACATATCTCGGAGATTACATAGGTTCTAGTCAAGGATTTTATTGTGAAGTTCGTGTCACATTTTCCCTGGGTAAGGACTAATTAAGAGTTGGGAGAAGTATCCCTATGTTTTTGCAAGTTTACCCATGTTGTGTGCTTTCTCTTGATACATTTGTTAAATCTTTGCTTTATATTTAGTGTTGGAAATCTACTTTCATACACACACACACACACACACACACACCCCCCTTTAATGTGGTAAAATATGCATAACATAATTCCCATTTTAACAATTTTTTAAGTGTATAGTTCAGGGGTAAGTTCATTCACCTACTTGCAACCATCACCACCGTTTTTCTCCCGAATTTTTTTATTATCTCAAACTGAAACTCTGCACTCATTGAACAAAAACTCCCAATTCTCTCCTCCTCCTAGACCCTGGTAACCCCTCATCTATTTTCTGTCTCTGTGAATTTGACTGTTCTAGGAGTCACATTAACGTAGACTCACACAGTATTTCTCCTTCTGTGACTGGCTTCGTTCACCGCACACAACATCCTCAAGGTTCCTCACTCCTGAAATCCCAGCACTTTGGGAGGCTGAGATGGGTGGGTCACTTGAGGTCGGGAGTTTGAGACCAGCTTGGCCAACATTGTGAAACCCCATCTCTACTAAAATACAAAAATTAGCTGGGTATGGTGGTGTGCACTTGTAATCTCAGCTTCTGGGGAGGCTGAGGCAAGAGAATTGCTTGAACATGGGAGGCAGAGGTTGCAGTTAGCTGAGATGGTGCCACTGCCCTGCAGCCTGAGTTTCAGAGCAAGACCCTGTCTCAAAAAAACAAAAACAAAAACAAAAAAACAACTCAAGGTTCATCCATGCTGTGGCATGTGTCATAATTCATTTCTTCATATTCCTGAAATACTTTTTAAAATATAAAGTATTCATTATTATTTTTATTTCAAGTTAAGTTTATCAGATCCTGTAGTCAAGGGACTTTACACTCTTTGAATTATCTTTCTTAGACAATGTGGGAGCTCTTTTGAAAAAACTGAATACAATTTGAATACACTAAATCTGAATCATGCCATAGATGAGGACATAGTGTCTTAGTGAGAAGAAATTTGATTCTGCTGACTAGGATACTCAAGTTTGACCTTTATGGTCATCTCTTAATAAAATAAAAGGAGAGCACTGGGCTATTAAATAGTTTATTCATGGATCATAGGGTGAATAAGACCTAGATCCTAGAGGAAACACTTCCCACAGAGACACTCAGACTTTCATTCCTGTCAATGTTCTTGTGGATTTCCGGGAGCAATGATGGCTGTAAATCTGCGACTCATAGCGTTTCAGGCTAAACACATTCAGCCTTTATCACCATTGTTCACTTGACCTCTTTATCCAATTTTTTTCCACCCACTTGCCAATATCACCTTGTTCTTATGTAGGTTGTGTTTCAGCCAGCTTAAGCCTTACTAACAAATGAGGTGAAATCCATCTGAGGAGGAAGCTGGGGCATGCTGAATTGAAATAGCTTGCCTCAGGAGCAGCAAATTAGGTGTGCGACAAGAAATAGAACTCCAGAGTACATGTTCCCAGTCATTGGCTTCAGCTGGAGCCCAGCATCCTTCAATGAATCAATCAACATTTACCTATCTGTCCCCCACAGTAGCTTTGCAAATTGCTTTCAAAAATTGTTGAACCACTAACAGTTTATCCACTTTGCAAAATATACCTAGCTCTCCCCATATCCAGGAGAGTTATCCCTTCTCAGCTGCATTCAACTCTTTTTATAACCCCTGATTTCAATAAGCAGCAAATATATCCACCAGCTTAGGGAAAATACTCTTACCATATAATTGCCTCTTATACTGAAACGTCCATGAGACCCTCTCATGAAATAGGACTAGATAAAACACAGGTTTCCCCCAACTCAAACATGCCTGCCTCGTACATGTCATGCCCTTGAAAATGGCTAGCACTGCTCTCTGCCTCCTCGTCAGGGTTAAGGCCTTCACTGTCTCCTGCCACCTCTGATGAAATTACTAACACATATATTATCCTTACCCTTTGGCTTCTAATCCAGCACTTCAAACGCATCGAAGGTCCAGAGAGGAACTTCTTCTGGTCACCTTGACCTTGTGATGCAAGGCAGGTGGGAGCAAGGGCTCCCTATCTGCAGACACAGAGACACTGTGGTCACCATGCTGGTGTTTTAGTCCTGATTTCCTCTGCTGGAGTAGATGGTGACCTCCTGCTTGTTCCCTAATATAACTTCACTTTCCTCACCTGCAAAATCAAATTAATATTTCCTCCCTCATGCGGTGCTTGGTGCCCCTCACCTTGCATTTACACCGTAAGACAGATGATATCGTATCTATTATTTTGTGAGTGGGGCAAAAGGAATTGAAAGTGAGTGTCAGGAGCAGCAAATTAGGTGTGGGACAAGAAATAGAACTCCAGAGTACACCTTTCCAGTCATTGGCTTCAGCTGGAGCCCAGCATCCTTCAGTGAATCCGTAGAGCCACTAAAGGCGACATCCTCATTCTGCAAACTGACCTAAATAATTTGGCTTTCACTAATAGATTCGTTTGGTCAGTTATAGCGTTTAGAGGGAGAGGAAAGAGTGTACATATGTGTATATGTGTGTGTGGGTTGTGTGTGTCTATGCATGTATATATGTGTGTTAGGACAAATACCTAATGTATGTGGGGCTTAAAACCTAGATGATGGGTTGATAGGTGCAGCAAACCACCATGGTACATGTATACCTATGTAACAAATCAGCACGTTCTGCACATGTCCTCCAGAACTTAAATATATTTTAAAAAATAAAGTCTATTTATAAAAACCAGAATCAGCTAATCTGCTTTGGTAGCTCTGTTCTGTGCTGTCGGGTGTTCCATCCTGGGTGTGACACAGGAGGGTTTCGATGGCAGGACCCGCCCACTGCGCATGCTGGGTCAGGTGACAGAGACCTTTGGAAAGACAAGGCCATAGGACCAGGGGCTTCTTGATGACGCTGAAGGTCAGGCTTCAGGGATGCCAGGGACTCATAAGATCTTTGTCAGTGAACACTATGCTGAGCGTCATTCATTTTACCAGTGAAAACATATTTGTGACATCCTTTGTGCTTTTTAGCAAAGCCTGCGGTATGGATTTGCATGATACTCAAATTGCCGAGTAACCACTTTGGGAGGGTTCTTGATTAGGGCACTAAAAATGTCAAAACGACACCCGTGGGATGTAGATTAAGGTCAGCTTGTACTCGTGCGTCTCTCCTAGTGTACGTGCCAGAGTCTTAGTATTTCAGCTGACAAAGTCTCTGTCCATGTACTTCCAGCGTTGCCTTACGAATAAGCTACAGGAGGGCAGAGACAAAAAGTTGACTTCATTAGAAACTTTCGGAAGTTGCCCAATTTAGGAAAAAGTGTTAATAAATCAGGAATTTTAAAAGAGCTTTTTGGTAAATCTGTAGTTATTCAAAACAGCCTCAGCATGATAAGGCAACACTAAAGATTATGAATAGTTAAGAAATAAAAATTAAATTCCAGCCAAACAATTGATCCTTTTTTTTATTTTGAGATGGAGTTTTACACTTGTTGCCCAGGCTGGGGTGCAATGGAGCAGTCTTTGCTCCTTGCAACCTCCACCTCCCAAGTTCAAGCGATTTTCATGCCTCAGTTTCCTAATTAGCTGGGATTACAGGTACCCGCCACCATGCCTGGCTAATTTTTGTATTTTTAGTAGAGACAGGGTTTCACCATATTGGCCAGGCTGGCCTCGAACTCCTGACCTCAGCATCCCACCTCAAGTTCTGGGATTATAGGCATGAGCCACTGTGTTCAACTGATCCTTTATGTTCAGTAAAACAAATGTTATGTTGCCAGCACATAGGTCAAGTAGCCATTTTGAAATTGACCACAGGGTGACCCTTCTTCTCCTCTTCTGAGGATCTTGAGTTCTCATCTCCGTCTTGAATGTCATGAGACCCCTTTCTCTACTGTGGTGTTAGTGAACCTAGGAAGGGATCCTATGTTGCACATGAGTGTAGGAAAGGGAGACTATGGCTTGATGTCTTAGGGAACTGTTTTTTGTTTCCCCGAAGGCTGGCAGAGATGCTTTTTCTCCTGTAGTATAGTTCTTTAAATATCACACTCTTTTACAATCCTATCTAACTCTGTGATCATGTCTTCCATAAATACACCAGAATCCCAGTCCGAATATGCCTTGTAGAAAGGGACTAGTCTAGGACTCAAATGATTAGATGAGTTCAGGGAATATGTCTAATGATGGATTTTGAGCTGGATTTTTGAGTGCTGTTCTCAGTATCTTCATCATGTCCATCAGCTCCCAGTTTCCTATAACTATCATGGAATAGTTATATATAAACTAATATATATAACTATTTAAATATAAGAATAAAACCAGATTGGATTTTCCCAGTCAGCATTGTCTTTGTCTGATCTTCAGAGGTAAAGTCCAGATGTTGTAAGCCTTGGGTGGTGCGATGGTGCAGGGCTAACAGCATGCTACAAAAAAATGAGGCCCATGCAGTCCTGGGGAGGAAGGGTCTACGAGTGCAACATGGCAAAGGAGACGTAAGAAAATATGTGATTGGCTGGGCGCAGTGGCTCGTGCTTGTAATCGCAGCACTTTGGAAGGCCCGGGCATGCAGATCACCTGAGGTCAGGAGTTTGAGACCAGCCTGGCCAACATAGTGAAACCCATCTCTACAAAAAATACAAAAATATTAGGCGTGGTG